GCAGGTAACAGGAGGTAGTATTTTGGGATGAGATAGACTAAGTTAACATAGATTTGAAAGGGAATCTTAGTGGCTTTCTATATGCAGGTAACAGGAGGTAGTATTTTGGGATGAGATAGACTAAGTTAACATAGATTTGAAAGGGAATCTTAGTGGCTTTCAGTATAGAATTTTAGATATAGAGAAACATTCTAAGTTATAGCTGTTTTGTTAGCATTTTTATTATTGGAACAGACATAAAATAAGCCTATTAAAATTTAGAGATAGTAAATAATAAGTATTGATAAAGTCTGTGCTAACTTATATCATGAATAGGAAAAATAAATTTGAACAGGTATTTTACAGTGGAAAGGAACTTTAGACATTAGAAAAAAATTAGAAGACAATGTTCTTCATCCTCCCATAAGAAAATTAGAAAAGGGAGAAAATGTCACTAATGTCAAGCAGAGATTCTATGTTCCTTTTCTTTCGTCTGTACTTTAACCTTCTCTCCTCCTTCCATCCTGAGATATTTAGTAAATGCCTGCTTTGTGCTACGTGCTATGGATACAAGGGGGAATAAAAATTTTGTGGATCTTTTCTTCTTAGAATTTGCCTTCTGGTAGTTAATAGACTTGGTTACATGCTATTTGTAACATATTTGACGTAGTAAGTGTCAAAAACCAATGAAGCCATGCTGGCCTGTTTCATACCTGCAGTTGGAATGTCCCTGCTTCTGTCTAGGACAGATGTGTTTGTGTGCAGTTCTTAGCAGCCTCCACACCCAGCATCTAACTTGGCCATATTCCCCCAGGTTCCAGTGGCATGTGCTGGCAGAGTGCTGGGTGCAGACTTCTGCCCAAACCTGGAGGAGCCAGACCAGAGGCTGGAAGTCCAGGTTGGAGTCTTACTGCTTTACTAGTTGGGGGTGGTGTGGCAGAAACAGTGGTTCCTGAATGTCTGACATGGATACATCAGTGTCATCAGGAGATGGACAGTTGTAGAGATAGGTTTAAAGGAAGAACCAGGGTGGCATGTGTGCCACAAAAAGTCCTTTTTAGGCTAAATTGTCTGTAACTGGAGATAGCTCGTTTATTCATCCAAGAAATGGTATATACTGCGGTAGGTAAGAGCATGTTTTCTGAAGGCTGGCTGCCTCGCTTTACAAAAGTTACTGTGAGATACTTGGCAGAGTCACTCAGCCACACTGGGCTTTAGCTTTCCCATCTGTAAAATGGGGACTTGCCACCGAAGGTGATTATGAGGAGTGAATGTTCTAACATCTACCTAGCTGGTAGCATAGGGCCTGGACATAAGAGGCCCTCAGTAAAGACTAGCTCTTATCTTTTAAAAGCATCGTTATCATGTGCTTGGTTCTGTGCTAGGCACTAGAGACACATGGTGAGCAAGTCATGCTTCCCGCGTGATGGTCTCTCAGCTCAGGAGAACAGAAGCCATTGGGCACCGTACTAGAAAAGTATGATTTAATGGTAACTATCTTCCCTTTTCATGTATGGAGAGATATGTCCTGGGATGCAATTTTAAGTTCTTTAGTCAAGTGAAAGTATTTATTTGGAATTTAGCTCATGTTATGTGGTCTTGGGACGTTAGAAGTAGTTCGGTATTTCATAGATAAAGAATATAAGTATGACACGTAGCTCAAAGACCTACCTTTACTCTGTGTGCCATGTAGTATTTAAGGAATGTGTGTGCTACTAATGCAAAAATACTGGCTGAAGTTGTAACATGGATGGCATCCCCTAGCATGAACAAACACATACTATATTTTTTCAGGACCTGCATTTGGCATCATTTTCTAAATTTTCAGACTTACTGGATAAGCATGGTGAGCTTGGTTTTAAAGCACTTTTGCTGATTTAGAAACCTTGCATGAGAAAGGAAAATAGTTTTAAAAATTGACTTCTTCACAGTTGGAGTGAAGGTGGAAGTGGTGGTAGGAGGAGGTTTCAGTTTTTATGGTACTGAAGAGTGTACTGTCTCCTGCACACCTGCTCTTGGCCTAGGGAAGACCACCTGAGCTCCGCTATACCACAAGCTGGTCCTGTCTGGGTGTTGCATGGCTACAGTACAACAGAAAAGCAGGTGTGACACATATGAGACATGATCATGTATTTCCCAGTTTTCGAAAGCGAACAGCTTGTACGTGACACATAAATGCAGAGTGATGGAAGACTTTTCATGGAGACTGGTCTGATCCTTGACCTCTTTGGGTAGGACAAGTGATGTTCTTCAAACACATCACCTGGAATGGTCTGTCATGGGTGGTTGTTGGATAATCTGTTTGTGAACCTTGAGTTATGAAGCGAAGAGCAATGGGTTTTGCAGATGTGACTGTGAAATAAAGCTGAAAGGGACCAATGGAGCATATTATTTTAACATACCAAGAGAGAAGATGTATGTTTACTAGTTTACGTGAAACCCTGGTTGTAGGTAGTTAAAACATTTGTAGAGTTGACAATTCATCACGGTCCTTGTGAAGAAGACCAAGCCCCTGGGCAAAGAAATGACTCTCATTTTATTGGACTCCTCCTCTTGCAACACCATTTTGGCAGACCGAGTGGAAAGGTTGAATGTGTTCAAAGAGTCAAGTGTGGTGAATTGGTGCATTAACTGGGACTCATTTGAACATTTCCTTCTTGTTTTCCTCTTCCTTTCTAAATATGACTTCCATACATTTTAATGATATCTGGTACATATATATCCACATTATGTCAGACATAAAAAAAACCTGACACTTAATATGTTCTTCACCAGCTAACAACTTCAGGAGTAGTTTTTTGCTTCTAGAGTCCTTTCATTCTTGCTATGGGGCATGTATTCTAGTCTCACCCCCCCCCCCCACAACGAAATGAGGCATTTCTTAGTTTTTAGTCTTAATTCTGCATTTCAGGGAATTCACCATAGGACTTGCCAGAGACATCTATTTTCCCTGCTTGGATCTCAGGCTGTCCCTCAGGGCCAGGCATTATAACCACTAGAGGATTTGCTGTTTTGGCCTCTTGATTCTGAGAATAATCTCTTGTACACCTTGATTTAGGAGCGATAGTTTGTTTATATCCTTTCCTATGAAGGATTTTCACTTAGACACACAGTGTCCATATCTGATTTAACTTTTCTATTTTAGCTGACATAATTTCTCTTGACTGGTGAAGTCCCTTTCTATTCTTACCTCTTTCCTTTTCACTCTTTTTTTCTATCCCTAAAATTTCAGATGGCTTAGCAACTTTATTGCTTAATAATTCCAAGATCCTTGACACTCTTTCATGAACATATCTTTGGTTTTGAATGACTGTTATCCTGAAGTCTGTGTCTTACTTAACTTTTGAAAGTGTGTCTTCGGGCTTATTGTGTTAATATGTTTGATTTAGAAAAGTAGCTGGAAATCAAGACTTTGATTCACTGTCTAATTTTGATTTTCTTTATTTTTTTTTAAGATTTTATTTATTTATTTGACAGAGAGAGAGAGAGATCACAAGTAGGCAGAGAGGCTGGCAGAGAGAGAAGGGGAAGCAGGCTCCCTGCTGAGCAGAGAGCCTGATGCGGGGCTCGATCCCAGGACCCTGAGATCATGACCTGAGCCGAAGTCAGAGGCTTAACCCACTGAGCCACCCAGGTGCCCCTCCTCTTTGGTTTTTGAAGTGGGTATGAAACTGTACTTTCTTATAGCTTGGGAAGTTAACTGATGTATATTAGCAAAAAATTGTGCTCTTAAATAATTATTTTCTAGGAAATGGTTATTCTAGTTTAGACTTCCCCTAATTCCTATTAAATATTATATTTTCAATTAGAGAAAAGTTACTTTTTAAGTCTAACTGTGCCTTATCCTGTATTAAGTTGTTACAGCTAGCCTAACACAGTTCTTTTCTTGGTTGGGAATTCAAGATGTGGGGTTGACTTGATATTTTTCACCACTAAAGTGCTTAGAAAATTAGAGTAAATAATGAACCAATATTTCAGTATCAGATTAGACACAATTTACTGTGATGTTTCATAAACCACAGACTCCTTTCTTCTGTGAATGCGTGAAGGATCACTTTTTTTTTTTCCCAGACATACCGGGGTGCAAGTGTAAATTTCCATAAAATTTAAATGAGGTGCTTCCTGTAATTAATGAACAATTGTGGCTGCTCTCTAGTCTGCATTGTAATTAACCGTGATCAGGCTTGTTTAGTGATGACACTGTTCCTGTAATAATTTGACAAGCTACTGTGAATTTGCCAGGTTATTAAACAACCTGCAGCATTCACTTATGGAATCACAGGGATGAGCTTGGCGGCTGCTGCTAGTTAAATGCAGCATAAGGGTGAACTGAAAGCTGCTTATTGAAGTCTATCGATCACCATGACCAGATTTAAATTCCTATGATTTTGGAGAAGTTAATTAATTTTGTGTGGGTTGTCTTGAAAACTTTTTATTGCATAATAAACCTGCTAGGGCAAAGCTGGTCATTTTTATGAACTCATAATGAAGCCAGCAAATTTTTTATATTATTATCACCAGTATGAACCAAAAAGAATTTGAGATTTCCCCTTCCCACCCTATTAAACGGGTAGAATTATTTAAAAACAACAACAAACTGTATTCTCTCCAAATTCATTCACAACATTCAACATTCCTCAAATATAAGTTCAGTGTGTGTGTGTGTGTGTGTGTGTGTGTGTGTGTGAGAGAGAGAGAGAGAGAGAGAGAGAGAGAAACAGCAGATGACCTTGAACTAAACACAGTCATGTTGCAGGTAGAGTGAGCCATCTAAGTGGACTGGTAGCCTTATGTCCATGGTCACTAGTACACCCGCCTTCCCCAACCCCCCTTCAGGTTAAGAACTGTTCAAAACGTTACTGTCTAGTTACTGTGGTGTCTTTCATTCAGATTCTGTTTATTGACTAAACCGCAAGGATTCCTGCCCAAAGTACCAGGCGGTCTATGCTTGACTGATTTTGATTTTCTAACATCAGCCCTGGGGTTTATTTGAAAAATGTACATACACTGCAGCTTTAACAAGTCAAGTGACTGCATGTTTTTGACCATGGAGTAGAGTATATCTGAAGATCATTAAATTTGGGGGGGTGGGGGTGAAGGGGGGGTGGAGAATAAGTGTAGTAGTCACTTTACCATTGCAGAATGTGTGTGTGTGTGTGTGTGTGTGTGACACATGGTTTTTGTCTTTTCATTTTCTCCAAGAGCCAGAAAGTTTCCTGCCGTTCTCTTTCCAGCTATTGACAAATGATTGCCAGATGTGAGATCTTTGCAGTGCTCTTTCCCTCAGCAAACCTGCAGCGATGGGATATTTGATTCTCCCTTGCCCATTTCATCTCCTTTCCACATCTGCCAGGGACACACAAGCAATACATCCCTACATGAGAGTTTAAAGTTTATTCAGCTCCTTTTCCCCTCCAATACAGTGTTTAGAGACAACAGAATGAGGTCCATATGACTCTAACCCAACTTCACTGTATGAAATTAGTTGTTTATTTTACTTATCTACCTCTTAGTAATTGAACTATTTCATTTTAGTTTCGGTCCATGGAAAATTTGATGCAACTCTGGGAGTGCTAAGAGTTTCCTATTGTTGTCTGCTTGCGGCAAGTATGCCATCATCTCGACTCTCCGATCGCCTCAGTTCTGATAGAGACTAGACTCTTGGCTTCATAGAACTTCCTAGGAAAGCAATTTTAATAAACAACTGTCAAAACATAAGTGTAGCATGTCTGTAAATTTCAGTAGGCATTTGAGATTAAAAGAGCCTGCTATGAGGGGGAAAATTCAACTTGTTTGGCTTGATTAGCTTACTCTGTATTTGTGTCCATTGTCAAAGTTGATATGGATGAGCTCCTAGTTTTAATCCCAAATAGTTTATAAAAGAGAAAGTACACTGAG